GAATTTTTCTTCAAATGTTTGGCGTGTTCTGTTCCTGAAAGATTTACTAATATTCTGGAGATTTTTTTCAAGTTCTTCGGCCTTTTCCTTAGGGAAATTTTGTTTCTTATTTGCTGCTAAAAAATGGCGTCTGATTCAGTCAATGACTTTGATGGAACTAAATGAAAACGTGATAAATTAATGTCCGATATTTACAGGCTCCCGCTAGACGGCGTACTCGAGCGTTGCGATCGCGAATTTCGATGCTATTATCGAAATAAAAAACTTTATTTTACTCTAAAATTAATTAAAATGAGTGGCAGAAAATCTGCTTCACATCTTCAGAAATTTACGAAAATAAAATCAAGTAAAATTGGTAATTTTAGGAAAAAAGTCCTATTTCTCAACTTCAAAGTCATTTTATTCAGAAAACTTTATTTTTCTTGTAAAATAAAGTGAAGGGCGAAAAATCCAGCTTCGCATCTTTTGAAATTGAAACATTCACGTAAGTAACATTGGTAATTTTAAGGAAAAAAAGTACTACTTTTTTTCAATTTTGAAGATATTTTCCAAATATAAAGTTTTATTTTCCTCTTAAATTAAAGTGAGGGGGCAAAAAATGTTCTCCCCCTACTTTCTATCCAACTTTTTCTGCTGTTTTCCGAAAAGAAATTTTTTTCCCTTTACACAAATACTTTTTTTTATTTTTATATCCGTCGTTGAACAGCTGATCCAATTTTGGGTTTACGACTACTAATGTTCAACTCTGTAGCCTTGTAATTTTAAACCAACCAAGAAGACAAGGAAACTCCTGGATCAGTACCCCCAGACTTATTGATTTGTTATTGGAACATTGAGGACTTTGTGACTCGACAGATTTAACGAGCATCAATCACCATTTACTACACGGGAAGTCTTCGGCAGGCGGGGATCGAACCTACAAACTCTTGGACCTGGGCCCAGTGCCCTGCCAACCAGGTAACACCGGCTTTTATGTTTTGTTTAATTTTCTTTTCTTTTCTAGATATAATCACTTAAAATATATTTAAAAAAAACAACCTTTTTTTAAAAACCAAAATATACCAAAAAAAGGGCACAGCATAAAAAATGAAACAAGTGTTAAGAAAACTAAAATAATTGCCACTCTTTTACCCTTCCCTGGATAGAGCAATAAAATGCATCCTTCACAGACAAATACATATATTTTAAAGTATCCTTTGACTTTCAACACTTTTCTTTATACCACCCTAAGAGACAACACACAATTATCCGACTCAGCAAAAAAAAAAAACATTTTATACTATGGGAAAATGTCCTATTGCTTCATTAGATTACTTTTATCACTTTTATGGCCCTGGGCTCTATTATCCTTTTATAAAATGACATTTATTCGCAGAACAATCTATTCATAAATTGTTTTAAATGAGCAACTATCTGAATGTTCCAGGAAAACAGGTGTAAGCTTGAGATCTAAGGGGATGACATTCGCTTTGATCATTTTGTTAAGAGACTTTTTCTGAGACCAACGTTCTAATAATCACACTCAGTTGAATTTCAATTCTTTTATCTCATTTAATTGCATCATTTAAATAAACTATTTTTTATTCAAATATAAATTTTTCGTTAACTTTTGCTTTGTTCAATATTTGAAATAAAAAATTTATATTAAATTTAAACTAATAAAAATTATTTGCAATTGTCATTTAACATAATCTTGCCATCAATAATTCCCATTCTTAATGAAATTTTTCGTCGGATAACAAAAAAAAAACACACTGTAAAATAGATTCATTTCTAAGGTAAGGAGTTAAGCAAATGTTTGTATTAAATAATTTAAAATTCTGTATTGATGTGCAGTTAGAATTGTTTCAACATTAATTTAAAAAAAATCACATTTAATACAAAATCGCATTTAATTTAATAAAAAAGCTATAAACATTGCTTCATTGAGAATAACTGAAAAAATGTCATCGCTTAAAGTATTTTAGTTCAAATAAATCACGGTTTTTCAGCCAATAAAAAATAAAGTTCTTTGAAACAAAAAAAACATCTTATTTCGTTGTTTCCATTATTCTTTCTAATTATACGAGAGACTTTCTTACATCGATTCTTTAAGATCAGCATTACTATCCTTATTTTACTGAAATTAAACTAATTTAAATCCTTTGCATTCATTGACAAAAAATGGTATATGTTGTAGTTTTATAAACTTAAAAAAGAAAAAAAAAGCAAAAGAAAAACTGTTAATTAAAAAAGCAGGAAAATAATATGATTGGGTTGAGAATGCAATTAATCTTCATTTAAATTTACTACTTTATTATTATCTTATTGGATAACGATATTATATAGAGCGCAGCTGAAACACCAAATCTGACACATATTTATTCCCTCTTATTGGAAATAAACCATATAAAATATCATTAATACACCAACAATAATTTATATAAAAAAAAGGTAATTTTTATTCTAATACAAAAAATTAAACTCAACTTTTATACTTTAAACAATTAATATAACAAAAAATATTTTTAATATAAAAGTTTCAATAAAAAATTCTATAAAATTTTATTATTAGTAATAAAAGCTGCTTTAATTAAAAAAAGCAACACATTTTCAAGAATGGGGCAATTTGTTTCCGTAACAATTGAGGAAGGGAGTAGTGTCAAGTGCAATTTATGTAGTTTTTTTTTTCTAATCAAAATCTTATACGATAATCAAAGTAATTATTTATGCAAATTTAACTTTTCGAGAACTTTTCATATACATTATTTTTCTGAGTTTAAGGTATACATTTTTGAAAATTATAATACTGAAACTTTAAATACTGCTGATGGAGGATAAGAATTTATCCGACCATTAGATCAGAATTATAATTTATCATTTTTACAAAATGTTTAATTAAATAACTTTTATTTTCCGTTTTAAACAAGGCAATTTCGATTTAAAACCAGAAAAATTAAACCAGAACAAGAAGAGAAAAACATTTGATTTAAGATTGCTTTAATTTTATTTAACTTTCAACTTTTTTTCTTCAGTTGTGAGATTTATATTTTTTTAATCATGAAGATGATATTTACTGTAACCAATGTTAAAAGATATTCATTGAAATGTTTTGTTCAAAGTTATTTCTGTCTGATCAGAAATATCAATAAGTAAAATATTCAAGAATGAATTCTTTTCAAAATATAACTATATTTTTTAAGGCCCTGCACCCCCTTGGAGTGCGGCAATTTTATTTTTTTAAGCGATGTATCTAAAGAAAAAATTTCTGGATACTTCTTCGATTGTGACTTTTTAAAATGTGAGCATATGTGCCTATAAAAAAAATCTATAATTTCCCAAACGAGAGTTAAAATTTTTAGAGAGTTAAAATTTAATAAATAATTTTCATTTCTAATGGTTTGTCTCGAAAAGACCTTAAATTACGATATAGAACCGGAACCGATACAAACAATATAATAACCGGATTCAAGAGGTTTTCTAAAATTGGTATTTTATGATTAGCATTATATTTAGAGAATAGGAGGGTGGGGAGTAGTAGAAAACATGAGTAGCTTTTTTTAGTCCAACTTCCACCGAGACATGTCGTAGACTATACATAAAACTGACTTTCTAAGAATACACATAACTTTTTTCAAATGGATTCAATTTTCTACACCCATAATACAGTTATACGTGAGGGTTAGCCGTAATCTGAGAAATATGGTCCTAACAGTTTGGTCAGGAGAGAGGTTATAAGTTTGGACCCTTAAATGTTAATTTTATTTTTTGTGTATTTTGCCATAGCTCGAGAGTTTTTTTAAAAAGGAATTGAAACTTTTTTGCACTTAGTTATAAAATTCATTTATCCAAATAGATTTCCAAGCAAAAAA